TGAAATTAAGATGCCTGGTAAATGCTCGACGTGACCGGAGCGGCCCCGGCCTTTGCACACATGACAAAACAGAGAGGCAAGCCGTAGGGGTCGGGGGGGGGGGGGGCAGGCAAGCGGGCTTTCATGCGCTGGAGAAGCAGGGCCTTTTAGGAGCCCCCTGAGGCCCACAGTCATTATTTCTATCGCACCAGCGATGCTTTGCGGGGCTGAAGATGACCTCCTGGCCAATGTGGCCCAATTCCGTCCACACATTCTTAAAACTACCAATTATGGGTACCAAAAATGACAATACTGATTCTGAAAAACGGGGGGGGGGGGGGGGGGAGGCCATTTGGAAGCCAAAAGGTTTCTCAGTCCTGAACAAGCAAGACTCCCCACCACCAAAACCACCTTAAGATGTTGTTATTATTATTAAACCTGATCGAACTCTGGTTCCAGATATTTTAAGCAGTGCCCCTTATAGCCAGCAGATGGCGCTTGGAAAAAGTCAACTCTCGCATGGCTTCCACTCCGCCATGAAAACCCCCCCAAAATAGAAATCTGGCAGCAATTTAAAGACCAACAATATCTATTCCAAAGTATGAGCCCACTGGCAGCTTTAAGACCAACAAAGTTTTGTTCCTGGCACAAGCTACCATGTGCACGCACACGTGCTTATACCCAGGGGTCATTTCCTGCAGGAGCGCACAGGAGCAGAGCTCCGGCAGTAAAGAGCCCAGGGGGCGGGCACGTGCAACAAGCCCCACCCCCTGCTCCCAGCAGCCCTCAGTCAGAGCAAGAAGCAGCCAGGTAAGCTGCAGAGCTCCCCCTCGGCCCAAAACAGTCCAGTGGCACCTTTAAGACCAGGTTTTATTCAGGTACAAGCTCTCCCTCCTCTGTGAGGGCAGATCTGTGCGTTCCCCCCCCCCCAATAGCTAGCAATCCAAAACAGTCCAGTGGGGCCTGAGCGGTGGGTGTTGCCTTCTGACACACTTCCGGTGATGTCAGGGGGTGTGGCATATGCGAATGAGTTATGCGAATGAGTTATGCTAATGAGCTCCTGCACCTCTTTTTCTGTGAAATGACCCCTGGTTAGTTATACCAGGAATAAAACTTTGTTGGTCTTAAAGGTGCCACTGGACTCAAACTTTTGTTCAGCTGCTGCAGATCGACACGCCGACCCACATGAACGTTTATTTCAGTTTGAATGACAGGAACCGGCCTGGACAAGCCACCCTCCACCCACCCACCTGCCCGATTTGTGCACACTTTGTTCAGTGGGGGAATTTTAACTCTTCCCATTTGTCCCCCCTTAAGCCTCCAACCAAAACATCTTACATGCCCCCCCCCGGCTCCAAGGCTTTTCACACCTGCTCCCCCTCCCCACCGCCCCCCACCAGCGCTCTGCCCGGCACACAGACCTTTTTGCAAGCTGCATACTCAGAAACACAACAGCCCACCTACGGGCCTGGATCCCCATGGGCAAGCAGCTCTGGCGAAGCCACAACACATGGGATGGTCAATACCTCCTGACCGCATGTTTGCTGGACCTCCTGATGGCACCTGGTGTTTTTGGCCACTGTGTGACACAGAGTGTTGGACGGTTACTTTAGTAGTTAATTTACCCGGTCATTAAGGTTGTATTTTAAAGTTTTAACGTTTTATTAATGCTCTGCTGTATTTTGTAACAGCCAATGGCTAAATATAATAAATTACTTGACTTGACTTGACTAGATAGGAACTCTCGGTCTGAAGCAAGTGATGCTCTGTTTCTTGGTGCTGGGGGTGGGGGCAACAGTGGGAGGGCGTCTGGTGTCCTGGCCCCACTGCTGGACCTCCTGATGGCCCCTGGTATTTTTTTGGCACTGTGTGACACAGAGTGTTGGACTGGGTGGGCCACTGGCCTGATCTGATGGCATCTGGTGCAAATGAAGCCAGGTCTGACCCACAGAAGTGGCACACGTCGCCAAGACCTCCATCCCTAGCAACTGACAGACAGCACCGAGGGTGAGAAATGCCACAACTCCAGAACGCACCGACTAGAGGAGTTTCTCTGGACGCGCTGTTGTCCTCTCTACCGGCCGTAAGCCTACAGAAGGGGCTTGGTTTCTGAGACGGCCTCCCCTCCGCCTTAAAAACACTTCTTGCTACCTAAGTCTAGGGTGGGGGGGCTGGTTGGGGATACTGGGTGGGAAGAGAAAAAGAGGGTTGGACTTTTTGTTCGGCTGGTGCAAGAGCCACCCGGACGCTCCCCCTTCACTGAACAGTTTTCGACTCAGACCCTCCCACAATAGCCGCACAACAGGCCCCCTGAAGAACTCTCTGTTGGTAATGTGCCAATGGAGGTGCTGGGAAACATTTCCCATGCTCCAGGGGACTCTCTCTCTCTCTCTCTCTCTCTCTCTGTGCCAATGGTTAAACACAGGGAACAGCCCCGTAAAGGCACCCGGAGCTTGCTGCAGAGGACGAGACAGAACCGGTATATACAACGGTCAGAATCCAGGGCGGAAGGCTCTTCCCTGAACTGCACCGGTTCAGCCTGGGAACTAAGAACTTGAATGCTTCTCCATGAAAAAAAAACCACATTCCCTTGTACACACAACGCCAGCTTCTCAGGGACAACGGAGCAGCTACCCTTCTTCCACCACATGCGATCACTCTGTACGCAAACGTGGGAATCCTCCCTGTGCCTCCTGCAGCCTGAACTGGCACAGTCCATTTGTTATAGCTGGATTCAAATCCAGAAGCGCCTTAGAGAACGGCCAGATTTTCAGAGGGCGAGCTTTTGAGAGTCAAAGGACCCCGAAGTGTTGGCTCTCAAAATGTCATGCCCCCCAAAATGCTCTGGTGGGTCTCTAAGGTGTGAACGAACTCAGATCTAGCTGTGCTGCCAGGGCCGGCTCGCTCACTAGGCGTTCGCCTAGAGCGGGCTGGCCCTTAGGGGCGCCAAACTGCACAAACACACACCGCCAAAAGCAAGTCCTCGGCACGGCACTAAGTCCTCGGCATGGATCAGCCAGGGCGCACGGCCT